TATATATATATATATATATATATATAGAAAAAATACAATCTAAAATAGTTAAACTATTCTAATATTTTCATACGTTATTATCGATATAATTATGTTGAACTAAATGAATTATATATTGATTATATTTAAAAATAAGAAAAGCTTAACTGATCGAGAGGAAATGACAGTTGATTGGTGCAACTGGTTCTGGCTATGTACTAATCCTTAATGCTAAAAAGAAGACGAATCCGATGACTGCGCGATCAGGGGATCATGACTTTTCTTTTTTCTTTATTTAGTTAACGAAAGCAAACGTGCGCGAATGAAGGAAACCGTCAGGAGACATGGTATGTACAGACATGTTTTCACAACTGTGATACAGTTCGCAAGTCGGAGCCAATAAACCATCCGATAGCTGACCTTATATTTACAATTGTTCTCTCATTGCGAATGTACCAAGTCGAAATAAAGGATCAAAACAAATAAATAGGATCACAGTTTTTTCCAGAAATCCAAAAAGTGTTTTTCACTTCGAGAACACAGCGTAAATTAAATTTTGCGATATCAAGACAAATTAGATAAGATAAACTCAATATAATACATCAGAATGTTGCAACTTTTCGAGTTAATCGTAGAAAAATAATAAAAATAATTGTATACCTACAAAAAAAATTTCAGATAAAATGAAATCTTTTTGAAATGTACATAATAGGTATCCCGATGCGTCAAATAATTAAAATAATTAACATTCGTCACATTCGCACGATGAATGACTCATTCAAATTATTTTCGATATATCGGTTGTTTTTGGACAAAAAGAAATTGAGACATGCAAAAGAAAATTTTGATGTGATCTTGATGAAACGAGCGCGATCACCGAGCTCCGACATCATTAAAGCGATTTAATTATAAAAAGTGCTTAAATGAAAAAATGCAACAATATTCTTCCGTAAAAGTATCATACGATCAATTCGGTTTTAATATCTGTATACATTATCATGGGGTATGTTGATGCTGTCAATTTAAACCGCCGAGATTCTCGTCTTGCGCAATTGGAAATTAGCATTATTATTCTAAATATTAATAGTATATTGTCAAAGTTAAATTGTATTAGGATATGAGAAACATTAAAATGTGATGTAATATTTAAGGAAATTAATTGATAATCTTTATATCTCACAATAAGTATTGGCAATCATATAGAGATGGAAGCTCAAAACAATTAGAAGAAACTAAAGTCAATTATATAAGCTAAAATTATAAAAGAATAAAATATTTAGATTCTTTGTTGTAAAGTTATATCAATATTTATACATATATATATATATATTATATAATTTATAAAAACATATGATTCTAATATACATAATTCAAAAAATTTTGTTTTAATTATTATATAATTTATATCTTTATTAATCTTTATATTAATATAAGTATTATTTTAAAATAATTAAAGTTCAAGCAAGTGTTTTAAATTTGATTTTTCTATTCCTTTATCATACAACGTGACTTAACAAAAAACTTATGTAAAATATAATCGTATGTACGAATTTTTTTATAAACGATCGAAAATCATTATATATTATACAAATAAGAAGCTACTTTTTCAAGACGTATACATATAAGTGCCTTCTACAGCTAAAGTCTTAAAATAATCCATTTATTTTTATTGAATGGTTCAAACTCATTTTATATGAGAGATCAATTTTAATAAGCAATTTTTTTATGTTGGCTTTATAACTGCAACATTGTATCATTTTTTTTAACTCGATAGACGAACTCGATTGTACGGTATCAATAGTTGCTTTCCATTTACACACAACTGAATCTAAAGTGAGTATTTCATCCTCAGATTAATGACGTCGTTATTTGCTTACTACGGTGTAAATGTTATTACATGACAACACACAGATTCATAACCTCATTTTTAAAGTGAGTTTACGAAACTTATAAAGGTTTCGATCTCGTACAGATTCTAAGTAAAAAACTCAGTTAAATCTCACTTGTCAGAATGCAAAAGAAACGCGCATTCAACATAGTTATGACGTCATAAATAAGAATTTTCTGAGAATCGGTGTAAATGGAAAGCATATCGTCCAATGCTAGAATGTTAATATTGACGTAGTTTGTGAAACAGAAACAAAGCATATATGATGAAGAGCGAGAATATAATGATGACACGGAAACGACAAAAAAACAATTTGATCCAAGCAAAAAAAGGAAGAAACGAAGAAGGTTCCGTACAAACTGAATAGTGATTAATTTTAATACTATCAAATATTAAAATTAATTACCAATTGAGCAAGAGACCTCGAGAATCTTACAGTGAACATAATTCGGGAGCATAACTTTTACTTAGTAAAACATTTCAATCAAAAAAAAGAACAAACCTTCAACCTTCCATCTGTGAAAGCTTGTCCTCCAAGCTGTCCTGGCTATCATTAGTATCGTTCAAATTGATAGTGTTATTGCCCTGTGACAATTCAATGACGGATTCGTTCAGATTACCGCTCGCCGATTTCTGTATATCTAGAACGTCGTCTGATGCCTCAAAGATCGAAGCAGTCTCCGAAAGATCTTGAGTGTCCAGTGCGATAGTGCCGGAGTCAGGTTGACTCTCCTCTTGTACGGCGATGATCTGCGCAGGTTCCTCCTCAACTTCAGGATCCAATTTAATCTCCGTTTCCTGCGCGACTTCAACCTCCATCGCTGTCTCCTGCTTAATGTCCTCTTCGTTTATTACGCTGTTCTGATCCAACTGCTCGTCAACCATCGCAGAGTCAGTCTTTCGTTTCGCAGACGTGCCTGGCGTTGACGACGTTGCGATACCAGAAATTTGCGTGAGATTGCTCAGAACCGTCTCCTGTATCTTCACCACGTTGTCGGTAGTCTCGAAAATGCTGCACAATTCCCGACTCATCTCCTCAACCTCTGATGTGTCACCAGGCTTTACTATCATGTAACGCTTGTTCGAGTACACCTTGTTGCTCGAGATAGTCGGACCCTTCTTCAAAATCGGTGTACTGCTTGACGTAGTAGTACTATTACCGCTCACCGTACTTTGGATTTCTTTCTGAACATTTTCTAACGTTTCCTCCACGGTAGGACTCTCCTCTTTTTTCAGCGGAATCTTCTCCATCTCTTCCTTTTCTGCTTGGATGAGATTGCTTTTCGTCGTTTCCGTGTCATCATTGTATTCCCGCTCCTCATCATATATGCTTTGTTTTCGTTTCACAAATACTCTCTTGAGCGGTAGCTGCTGTTCATCCTCAGACTCGTCATGTCGCTCCGGTATCTCATCAATCGTCTCGTAGTCCTGCTGCGCTTTCTTCGCCTGCAGCTCCTCAATCTTCAGTCTTTGCTGCTCCACTCGCTTCTCCAATTGTTCCAGCTTCTCCTTGGTTTCCTGATCCTGGCCCTGAGTGATC